AGACACAACTTAGTCTCCTTTGTGCATCAACAACAGGGAAATGTCCATCGTAAGCGCAACTATGAGCGAGATTAAACCCCCAGGTCCTAATTCAACTAAAAGCGCAAAGGATAGCGCGCATTGAGGTGAATCACAACGACGTGAACGATAATGCCTAAAACGCAGGACTCGCCGCGCGGGTTAATTGATAAACTACAACGACCTTTCTTCCCGCATTCCCATGCGGGCGACATTGTGGTACTGGAGAGGCCCTTTACAATAATGAATCGTGAGCCTCCAAAGATAAGTAGGAAGACAGTCAAAGCGGGGCAAATGATAAACGTCTCCACAAAAGGGATGACTCCATCAGATTTGGCGGTCGTAGACATCTGCTCAGACGAAGGTGAACTCTATCATCGGACCAGCCGACTGTTATTCGATTCAGCTCAAACCTGCGGAACGCGCGTAAGCACATCGAGGAGACACAGTACGACCGGCTGGAAGTGATAGTACAGATGCCCCACTCCCCAAATTCGCATTTCAAAAGACGTTCTAATACGCGGTTAGGAACAAGATGGCTCAAATGAGCTCCTTTACTCGCCGACTACAATTTACGACAAGCATTCAATATGTTGTAGACCTGCAACATGGAGCCAGCCCAATCAGTAACGATGGGTTCGGACCATTGATCAATGTGTACACAGCTGGGAGAATGTTCCAAAACGCCCAAACGTTTACCAAAGTTTGCTGTCACCAAAACTGGTGGGACATGAAAGAAGGATTAAATTGATGCTCAGAATGACAAGTGCATACCCGGGTCATGACTAGCTTCAAAGAATAGTGATGGTCGAGGTGAAAACGGATAAACAAACAACTTGGCATACTTACACGGTAAGCTGAGGTCTCATTGGAGGACATGGCCTTACCAACAAGAGCAATGTGGCTATTGTTCCAGGTATTGTTGTCCACCAGAGTGGTACGGTTTGCCATGCCTGCTATCTGGTAACCATAGTCCCACCATGACATGACGCGCGATTCAAGCTCCGTGTTCTGCCAAAGCCAGTAATAGGCCTCACTGCAAAAAGATACAAAACATGTATTTCTAAAAATAGTAATCGTTGTTCTATTTTTTTGACGACAGAGACTGTAAATACGAAACGAACACTACTATGTCAGTTTATCACAAATTACTGGCTGACTAGTAGCCCTTGTTGGATCAGGAATGTTATAACGACGGGTTCCGGCGTCGTTATTGTTGGTAACGATGACATCTGACGTGTGTAACCGTTGAATTACGCCCTTTGGAATCCCCAAGGAAGAACACAATAAGAAGGG